TTATATCATGACTACCAAAATTATCGACATTTTCCTATATATAGCGATATATTCATTGAAAGTAGACTCACAACTTATGTGGGGTTATGTTCCTGGGACCTCACATAGAGCCCAAAACCCATAAAGTCAGAAACACTCCTAATAATACCATAAATTGACCCCAAAAATAAGAGTTGAATTTTCTATCTCTTGAACAAAATATATGATGTATATATTCAAATTATTCTCTGTCTTGCAAGGATTCCACCAATGTAATTTATATTCTGCTAACTTTAGACTGTGTCATTTATGTCAAATTTAGTCACGTTTATTGGCCTCCAGAACCTAACCCTATTTTCCCCATTGATTACATGTAATTATATACAGTACAGTATAGCGATTTAGTATAGCGAACATCCTTGGACCCTATCTGGTGATATATCCCGACCCTACTGTATAGTACAGTATAGTACAGTACACTACAATACAATACTGTACTGTACTATACTGTACTGTATTATACTGTACAGTATTGTACTGTACTGTACAGTACAGTACAATACTGTACAGTACAGTACAATACTGTACAGCACAGTACAATACTATACAGTACAGTACAATATAGTACAGTACAGTACAGTGCAATATAGTACAGTACAGTACAATATAGTATAGTACAATATAGTACAGTACAATATAGTATAGTACAATATAGTACAGTACAGCACAATACTGTACAGTACAGTACAATACTTACCTACTGTACAGTACAGTACAATATAGTACAGTACAATACTGTACAGTACAATATAGTACAGTACAGTACAATACTGTACAGTACAGTACAATATAGTACAGTACAGTACAATATAGTACAGTACAGTACAATATAGTATAGTACAATATAGCACAGTACAGTAGAATACTGTACAGTACAGTACAATACTGTACAGTACAGTACAATATAGTACAGTACAGTACAATATAGTATAGTACAATATAATACAGTACAGTACAATACTGTACAGTACAGTACAATACTGTACAGTACAGTACAATATAGTACAGTACATTACTGTACAGTACAATATAGTACAGTACAGTACAATACTGTACAGTACAGTACAATATAGTACAGTACAGTACAATATAGTACAGTACAGTACAATATAGTACAGTACAGTACAATATAGTATAGTACAATATAGCACAGTACAGTACAATACTGTACAGTACAGTACAATACTGTACAGTACAGTACAATACTGTACAGTACAGTACAATATAGTACAGTACAGTACAATATAGTACAGTACAGTACAATATAGTATAGTACAATATAGTACAGTACAATATAGTACAGTACAGTACAATATAGTACAGTACCGTACAGTACAGTACAATAATGTATAGTACAATATAGAACAGTACAGTACAATATAGTATAGTACAATATATTACAGTACAGTACAATATAGTACAGTACAGTACAATATAGTACAATACAGTACAGTACAATATAGTACAGTACAATATAGTACAGTACAATATAGTACAATACAGTGCAGTACAATATAGTACAGTACAATATAGTATAGTACAATATAGTACAGTACAGTACAATATAGTACAGTTCAGTACAATATAGTGCAGTACAGACCAATATAGTATAGTACAATATAGTACAGTACAATATTGTACAGTACAATAAACTACAGTACAATATAGTATATTACAGTACAGTACAATATAGTACAGTACAATACAGTACAATATAGTATAGTACAGTACAATATAGTACAGTACAGTACAATATAGTACAGTACAGTACAATATAGTATAGTACAATATAGTACACTGCAGTACAATATAGTACATACAGACCAATATAGTACAGTACAATAAAGTACAGTACAATATAGTATATTACAGTACAGTACAATATAGTACAGTACAATATAGTACAGTACAGTACACTATAGTACAGTACAGTACAATATAGTACAGTACAATATAGTACAGTACAGTACAATGCAGTACAGTACAATATAGTACAGTACAATATAGTACAGTACAATATAGTACAGTGCAATACAGTACAGTACAATATAGTACAGTGCAATATAGTACACTACAATATAGTACAGTACAATACAATACAGTACAATATAGTACAGTACAATACAGTACAGTACAATATAGTACAGTACAGTACAATATAGTACAGTACAATATAGTACAGTGCAGTACAGTACAATATAGTACAGTACAGTACAATACAGTACAGTACAATATAGTACAGTACAGTACAATATAGTACAGTACAGTACAATATAGTACAGTGCAGTACAATACAATATAGTACAGTGCAGTTCAATACAGTACAGTACAATATAGTACAGTACAGTACAATATAGTACAGTACAATATAGTATATTACAGTACAAATAGTACAGTACAGTTCAATACAGTACAGTACAATATAGTACAGTACAGTACAGTACAATGCAGTACAGTACAATATAGTACAGTACAATATAGTACAGTGCAATACAGTACAGTACAATATAGTACAGTGCAATATAGTACACTACAATACAGTACAATACAATACAGTACAATATAGTACAGTACAATACAGTACAGTACAATATAGTACAGTACAGTACAATATTGTAGCAGTACAATATAATTACAGTGCAGTACAGTACAATATAGTACAGTACAGTACAATATAGCAGTACAATATAGTACAGTACAGTACAATATAGTACAGTGCAGTACAATACAATATAGTACAGTGCAGTTCAATACAGTACAGTACAATATAGTACAGTACAATATAGTATATTACAGTACAAATAGTACAGTACAGTTCAATACAGTACAGTACAATATAGTACAGTACAGTACAGTACAATGCAGTACAGTACAATATAGTACAGTACAATATAGTACAGTACAATATAGTACAGTGCAATACAGTACAGTACAATATAGTACAGTACAATATAGTACACTACAATACAGTACAGTACAATACAATACAGTACAATATAGTACAGTACAATACAGTACAGTACAATATAGTACAGTACAGTACAATATAGTACAGTACAATATAGTACAGTGCAGTACAGTACAATATAGTACAGTACAATACAGTACACTACAATACAGTACAGTACAATACAGTACAGTACAATATAGTACAGTACAATATAGTACAGTGCAGTACAATACAATATAGTACAGTGCAGTTCAATACAGTACAGTACAATATAGTACAGTACAATACAGTACAGTACAATATAGTACAGTACAATATAGTACAATACAGTGCAGTACAGTATAGTACAGCACAGTACAATACAGTACAATATAGTACTGTACAATATAGAAATGTACAATACAGTACAGTACAATATAGTACTGTACAATATAGTACAGTACTGTACAATACAGTACAGTACAATATAGTATGGTACAATACAGTACAATATAGTACAGTACAATACAGTACTGTACAGTACAATATTGTACAGTGCAGTACAGTACACTACAGTGCAGTACAGTACAATTCAGTGCAGTACAATATAGTACAGTGCAGTACAGTACAATACAGTACAGTACAATATAGTACAGTGTAGTACAGTACAATACAATACAGTACAGTACAATACAGTACAATACAGTACAGTACAGTACAATACAGTACAGTACAATATAGTACAGTACAGTACAGTACAATACAATACAGTACAATACAATACAGTACAATACAGTACAGTACAATACAGTACAGTACAATATAGTACAGTGCAGTACAGTACAATACAGTACAGTACAATACAGTACAGTACAGTACAATACAGTACAATACAGTACAGTGCAGTACAGTACAATACTGTACAATATAGTACAGTACAGTACAATACAGTTCAGTATAATACAGTACAGTACAGTACAGTACAGTACAGTACAATATAGTACAGTATAATACAGTACAATACAGTACAGTACAATACAGCACAATACACATACAGTGTAGTATAATACAGTACAATACACATACTGTACATTGGTTCCTCGGTTAAGCAGCTCAATTCGTTCCACAGAGTCGTTCGTTACCCGAAAATTTTGTTAACCGAATCCATTGTTTCAATGGGATATTGGGTCATGGGTTCCGGCTCACCGAAAAGTACATATAAAGTAAAAAAAAAAAATATGTAGTAAAGTACATTTACTTTGAGATGGGTATGTAGAAGGTTCCTGGTTTATGATGATGATGATGGGAATTAGAAATGGGGGTGGAGGAGAAGGGAGAAGAGAAGGAAGTGGGGGTGGAGGAGAAATCACCTTTCAGGGGACCCATGCTTGATGCAGTAATTTCACCAATAAAATTTTTAGTTCACTTGGTGTAATTCAAGATTATTTTATTTAAATCAACACTGCACTACACTGTATATTATCAATATGTTAACTAAATTTCAGAGTGACAAATAATTTTAATGTAAAAATGCAAAAATATTCAAGACACCAACAAAATCGATGTTCACTCCACTGTCAACAAAGCCAAACTGACGCCTTGTGGGTGAGTTAAGTGGCTGATGGGCTCACAAAAAACTAGTTCCCTGTGCTGCATATATTATCAATATGTTAACTAACTTTTAAATGACTCATAATTTTAATATAAAAATGCAAAAATATTAAAGAGCACAACTTTCTTGATATTTACTCCACTGGAAACGAATGTAAACATAGAACAGATTACTAAATTGGCAGACTACCCCGTCAGCCGATCAGCTGATGCTCACAACAAAACTTGTTTGTCGTAAGGATTTCGTTAATCAAAGTTTTGTTCGTTAACCGAATTGAAGATCCATATGGGAGCTAATTCGTTAACCATATTTCGTCAATCGAACCGTTCGTTAACCGAGGGACCACTGTGCAGTGTAGTACAATACACATACTGTACAGTGTAGTACAGTACAATACAGTACAGTAGTATTGTTCCACAGGTCAGAAAGCATTTAAGAAGAAGCAGCTGTGTTACAAACAAGTTCCTCGCACTATGGCAACACAGACTATCACAGACATCATCATCTTGAGTCGCTCCAAGGTGGCCCCAGAAGGGTTCTCTCTGGTGGGGGAGATGAACGGCCTGTGTGTGTGTATCAAGCCTGGCCCAGCACCCACACCTCAACACAACAAGCCTTCTGCTCAGGCTTCATCCCCACATCTCTATAGGTGAGTACAGTACAGACTATTCTGTACCATATACAGTACAGTACAGACTATTCTGTACCATATACAGTACAGACTATTCTGTACCATATACAGTACAGACTATTCTGTACCATATACAGTACAGACTATTCTGTATCATATACAGTACAGTACAGACTATTCTGTACCATATACAGTACAGTACAGACTATTCTGTACCATATACAGTACAGTACAGACTATTCTGTACCATATACAGTACAGTACAGACTATTCTGTACCATATACAATGCAGTACAGTACAGACTATTGTGTACCATATACAGTACAGTACAGACTATTGTGTACCATATACAGTACAGTACAGACTATTCTGTACCATATACAGTACAGACTATTCTGTACCATATACAGTACAGACTATTCTGTACCATAAACAGTACAGACTGTTCTGTATCATATACAGTACAGTACAGACTATTCTGTACCATATACAGTACAGTACGAACTATTCTGTACCACTGCAGTACAGTACAGACTATTCTGTACCATATACAGTACAGTACTGAACTATTCGGTACCTGCTACAGTACAGTACAGACTTTGTTCTGTACCATATACAGTACAGTACAGTACAGACTATTCTGTACCATATACAGTACAGTACAGTACAGACTATTCTGTACCATATACAGTACAGTACAGTACAGACTATTCTGTACCATATACAGTACAGTACAGTACAGACTATTCTGTACCATATACAGTACAGTACAGTACAGACTATTCTGTACCATATACAGTACAGACTATTCTGTACCATATACAGTACAGACTATTCTGTACCATATACAGTACAGACTATTCTGTACCATATACAGGACAGTACAGTACAGACTATTCTGTACCATATACAGTGCAGTTCAGTACAGACTATTCTGTACCATATACAGTACAGACTATTCTGTACCATATACAGTACAGACTATTCTGTACCATATACAGTACAGACTATTCTGTACCATATACAGTGCAGTACAGACTATTCTGTACCATATACAGTACAGTACAGACTATTCCGTACCATATACAGTACAGACTATTCTGTACCATATACAGTACAGTACAGACTATTCTGTACCATACACAGTACAGTACAGACTATTCTGTACCATATACAGTACACTACAGACTATTCCGTACCATATACAGTACAGACTATTCTGTACCATATACAGTACAGTACAGACTATTCTGTACCATATACAGTACAGTACAGACTATTCTGTACCATACACAGTACAGACTATTCTGTACCATATACAGTACAGACTATTCTGTACCATACACAGTACAGTACAGACTATTCTGTACCTTATACAGTACAGTACAGACTATTCTGTACCATATACAGTACAGTACAGACTATTCTGTACCATACACAATACAGTACAGACTATTCTGTACCATATACAGTACAGTACAGACTATTCTGTACCATATACAGTACAGTACAGAGTATTCTGTACCATATACAGTACAGTACAGACTATTCTGTACCATCTACAGTACAGACTATTCTGTACCATATACAGTACAGACTATTCTGTACCATATACAGTACAACAACTGTACAGCATCTTCCTGTACATTACAGCATTAATACATTATTCCTGTACTGTACAGTCAGTTTGTTCTGCTTACAACAACTGTACAGCATCTTCCTGTACATTACAGCATTAATACTTTATTACTGTACTGTACAGTCAGTTTGTTCTGCTTACAACAACTGTACAGCATCTTCCTGTACATTACACCATTAATACATTATTACTGTACTGTACAGTCAGTTTGTTCTGCTTACAGCAACTGTACAGCATCTTCCTGTACATTACAGCATTAATACATTATTACTGTACTGTACAGTCAGTTTGTTCTGCTTACAACAACTGTACAGCATCTTCCTGTACATTACAGCATTAATACATTATTACTGTACTGTACAGTCAGTTTGTTCTGCTTACAACAACTGTACAGCATCTTCCTGTACATTACAGCATTAATACATTATTACTGTACTGTACAGTCAGTTTGTTCTGCTTACAGCAACTGTACAGCATCTTCCTGTACATTACAGCATTAATACATTATTACTGTACTGTACAGTCAGTTTGTTCTGCTTACAACAACTGTACAGCATCTTCCTGTACATTACAGCATTAATACATTATTACTGTACTGTACAGTCAGTTTGTTCTGCTTACAACAACTGTACAGCATCTTCCTGTACATTACAGCATTAATACATTATTACTGTACTGTACAGTCAGTTTGTTCTGCTTACAACAACTGTACAGCATCTTCCTGTACATTACAGCATTAATACATTATTACTGTACTGTACAGTCAGTTTGTTCTGCTTACAGCAACTGTACAGCATCTTCCTGTACATTACACCATCTTCCTGTACATTACAGCATTAATACATTATTACTGTACTGTACAGTCAGTTTGTTCTGCTTACAGCAACTGTACAGCATCTTCCTGTACATTACAGCATTAATACATTATTACTGTACTGTACAGTCAGTTTGTTCTGCTTACAACAACTGTACAGCATCTTCCTGTACATTACACCATTAATACATTATTACTGTACTGTACAGTCAGTTTGTTCTGCTTACAGCAACTGTACAGCATCTTCCTGTACATTACAGCATTAATACATTATTACTGTACTGTACAGTCAGTTTGTTCTGCTTACAACAACTGTACAGCATCTTCCTGTACATTACAGCATTAATACATTATTACTGTACTGTACAGTCAGTTTGTTCTGCTTACAGCAACTGTACAGCATCTTCCTGTACATTACAGCATTAATACATTATTACTGTACTGTACAGTCAGTTTGTTCTGCTTACAACAACTGTACAGCATCTTCCTGTACATTACAGCCTTAATACATTATTACTGTACTGTACAGTCAGTTTGTTCTGCTTACAACAACTGTACAGCATCTTCCTGTACATTACAGCATTAATACATTATTACTGTACTGTGCAGTCAGTTTCATTCTTCTTACAACAACTGTGCAGCATCTTCACTGTGCATTACAGCATTGTACATTATTGCTGTACTGTACAGTCAGTTTGTTCTGCTTACAACAACTGTACGGCATCTTCCTGTACATTACAGCATTAATACATTACTGTACTGTACAGTCAGTTTATTCTGCTTACAGCAACTGTACAGCATCTTCCTGTACATTGCAGCATTAATACATTATTACTGTACTGTACAGTCAGTTTGTTCTGCTTACAACAACTGTACAGCATCTTCCTGTACATTACACCATTAATACATTCTTCCTGTACATTACAGCATTAATACATTATTCCTGTACTGTACAGTCAGTTTGTTCTGCTTACAACAACTGTACAGCATCTTCCTGTACATTACAGCATTAATACATTATTACTGTACTGTACAGTCAGTTTGTTCTGCTTACAACAACTGTACAGCATCTTCCTGTACATTACACCATTAATACATTATTACTGTACTGTACAGTCAGTTTGTTCTGCTTACAGCAACTGTACAGCATCTTCCTGTACATTACAGCATTAATACATTATTACTGTACTGTACAGTCAGTTTGTTCTGCTTACAACAACTGTACAGCATCTTCCTGTACATTACAGCATTAATACATTATTACTGTACTGTACAGTCAGTTTGTTCTGCTTACAACAACTGTACAGCATCTTCCTGTACATTACAGCATTAATACATTATTACTGTACTGTACAGTCAGTTTGTTCTGCTTACAGCAACTGTACAGCATCTTCCTGTACATTACAGCATTAATAGATATTCTGTACTCACAGTCAGTTTGTTCTGCTTTTACAAATAACTGTACAGTATCTTCCTGTACATACACTATTAATACATTATTACTGTACTGTACAGTCATTTGTTCTATGCTTATAACAATTGTATAGGGCATCTTCCTGTACATTACAGCATTAATACATTATTATTGTATTGTACAGTCAGTTTGTTGTAGTTACAACAACTGTAAAGATCTTCTCTGTACATTACAGCATTAATACATTATTACTGTACTGTACAGTCAGTTTGTTCTGCTTACAGCAATCACAGCATCTTCCTGTACATTACAGCATTAATACATTATTACTGTACTGTACAGTCAGTTTGTTCTGCTTACAGCAACTGTACAGCATCTTCCTGTACATTACAGCATTAATACATTATTACTGTACTGTACAGTCAGTTTGTTCTGCTTACAACAACTGTACAGCATCTTCCTGTACATTACAGCATTAATACATTATTACTGTACTGTACAGTCAGTTTGTTCTGCTTACAAGAACTGTACAGCATCTTCCTGTACATTACAGCATTAATACATTATTACTGTACTGTACAGTCAGTTTGTTCTGCTTACAACAACTGTACAGCATCTTCCTGTACATTACAGCATTAATACATTATTACTGTACTGTACAGTCAGTTTGTTCTGCTTACAGCAACTGTACAGCATCTTCCTGTACATTACACCATTAATACATTATTACTGTACTGTACAGTCAGTTTGTTCTGCTTACAGCAACTGTACAGCATCTTCCTGTACATTACAGCATTAATACATTATTACTGTACTGTACAGTCAGTACTTACAGTCAGTTTGTTCTGCTTACAACAACTGTACAGCATCTTCCTGTACATTACAGCATTAATACATTATTACTGTACTGTACAGTCAGTTTGTTCTGCTTACAACAACTGTACAGCATCTTCCTGTACATTACAGCATTAATACATTATTACTGTACTGTACAGTCAGTTTGTTCTGCTTACAGCAACTGTACAGCATCTTCCTGTACATTACAGCATTAATACATTATTACTGTACTGTACAGTCAGTTTGTTCTGCTTACAACAACTGTACAGCATCTTCCTGTACATTACAGCATTAATACATTATTACTGTACTGTACAGTCAGTTTGTTCTGCTTACAACAACTGTACAGCATCTTCCTGTACATTACAGCATTAATACATTATTACTGTACTGTACAGTCAGTTTGTTCTGCTTACAGCAACTGTACAGCATCTTCCTGTACATTACACCATTAATACATTATTACTGTACTGTACAGTCAGTTTGTTCTGCTTACAACAACTGTACAGCATCTTCCTGTACATTACAGCATTAATACATTATTACTGTACTGTACAGTCAGTTTGTTCTGCTTACAACAACTGTACAGCATCTTCCTGTACATTACAGCATTAATACATTATTACTGTACTGTACAGTCAGTTTGTTCTGCTTACAACAACTGTACAGCATCTTCCTGTACATTACAGCATTAATACATTATTACTGTACTGTACAGTCAGTTTGTTCTGCTTACAACAACTGTACAGCATCTTCCTGTACATTACAGCATTAATACATTATTACTGTACTGTACAGTCAGTTTGTTCTGCTTACAACAACTGTACAGCATCTTCCTGTACATTACAGCATTAATACATTATTACTGTACTGTACAGTCAGTTTGTTCTGCTTACAACAACTGTACAGCATCTTCCTGTACATTACAGCATTAATACATTATTACTGTACTGTACAGTCAGTTTGTTCTGCTTACAACAACTGTACAGCATCTTCCTGTACATTACAGCATTAATACATTATTACTGTACTGTACAGTCAGTTTGTTCTGCTTACAACAACTGTACAGCATCTTCCTGTACATTACAGCATTAATACATTATTACTGTACTGTACAGTCAGTTTGTTCTGCTTCATCCCTCTATTTATTCCTTTATTTATCTCTCATCAAACTTTTCCTCTTTATTTCTTGTGGTTATGTTTTGACAATTGCCATATTTGTTGTGTGGGGAAGATCACTTAGTGTGCTGTGGTTCACAAGTGTCTAGTTATATGAGGGTCTCACTTAACTAGACTGGCCACTCACCAGTTAATGTATTTATAATATAATTTACTGGGTATTATAAGCACAATGGCAGGAGCTATTATATCATGCAAGAATTAAGCATGTCTCAACTTTCTCCCATTCTCCTGATAGGCATCTTTAATTACGTACATATTTAAGATTGCTTCTAGAATAGTTTGTCAACTATAAAAATTTCAAGAAGAAATATGCCATGAGAAAAGAATATCTGTTACAGTATGTTGTATTTGTTGTCTGCATGGGAAGAATCTCTCATAATACACATCTTCTTTGTTGGCAGTGTGGAGCCCAGCAGCAGGGGAAGTACTGGAGGTGGTGGTGGGGGAGGGGGAGGTCTGTACCCTGGTTTAGGCCCAGCCAGACCTGCTCCAGCCCCACCTGTTGCTGGGTCCGGTCAGCCCCAGGGTCCTGCTCCCCCACTACCCCCTCGTAACCCACCCTCCTATGCTTCCCCGACCCATGCTAGTCAAAACAGTAATACACTCTATGGTCCAGGACACTCTGGTAAGTAACTACTGTATGAGGTGAGTCTAGGGATACACAAACCTCCATTAAAGGGGAAATATTGGAGTAAGTGTAGACAGTGGCAGAAAAAGCTGTGGTAATACAAGTAGCTTCGGCCACTCTACAACTTCACACAAATTTATTAAGTGAATGCCTGCACCTCATATTAACCCAGTAATTAAGTATATCATACCATTCTTTATATTTAGTCTTGATTGAATATTGATATTAGTGTGATACAGTTTGTTTGTGAAGTATGTACTGTACTGTACTGTATACAAAGTAGCAGTACGGTAGTCATATTTTCCTTGGGGCTATGCATATTGTTATGTGTTATTCAGAGTAGCTATATAATATAAATAATCAGTAGAGTTGTATACAATATACAGCAGTCTTACCATTAGCCAGAATCATTGATCCACAGAATCTTCCATTACCTGGACATTTTTTTAGCAGTCCGAGAAATTCCAAGAAAAATCTCTCCTTTTGAATGAATTTCCAAGAGATTGGATCATGTAGAGACACACGCTGAGCACTTGAGTGAGGAGGCTCATAATGCTCATTAGCTATGATTGGCTACTACTGTAAAGTGACTGCATGGGATGCCTATGATTGGTTGATGTATCTGGCAGCGTAGCTCCTCAAACTCTATCATCATGACAGAACACGAGCGCATCATCCATGTCATACACACACACACACACACCTGCCTCACGCCATCTCAGGCTTCATTATTTTTACGTCACATTACAGTTATATACAGCTACTCCACGACTTACCACGGGGTTAGGGACCCAAATCCAGGCCGTAAGTCGAAAATGCAAAAAAATATTACATATAAAATCTAAAATGAAATACAGTACAGTAATAGTAATCAATAATGAAGAATGGATACAGTGTGACTGTGCACTTACCCTTACTGTAGTCAGCTGAATGCACACGGGATCCCTAGAATTTTCTAATTATACATGGAGACTACATTAACTGGAAGAAGCAGAGGAGGAGACAGAGCTGGGTGGGCCATCAATGTCACTTTCCTCAGACAGGTTTATGTACTGTGGAAACCTGCTGTTTGAAGGTATTGGATCATCTTTATGGAGTGAAGAGGCAGCACTGGTGGGGCGTGAGGAGACAGCACTGGGGTCCTTTTCTTAAAATAGATGTCCAATTTAGACTGCACAGTTTGCTTTTTCTTTTCATTATAAATCTCCCTGTAGCAAGCAAGTGCATCTTGGGCCATTCTGTCAACTTTGGCAAAACGCTCAAAATTTGGATCCATTCCGTCAAACATTTGCATCCCCTTATTAATTGTAGCAAATGCCTCTGCCATTTGCTTCACTGAAAACTTTTTGGGGGATGCAGGTTCTTCTTCTACAGTTAGACTCTCTTCTTCCTCTGCATTTTTCTGTCCTTCCAGTTCAATAAGATCCTCGTTACTGAGCTCTTCTGCTACACTTTCAACCAACTGTTCAACATCTTCATTATCAATTTCTAACTCCAGCTGTTAACCCAACTCCACTATATTGTTACTTATCTCAGAAATTACTTCATCTTCATTAAATCCTGTGAAACTGTTCACATATCTTTTCAGGACTTTCTTCCATATTCCATTCATGCACTGACCTGTAACCTCATCCCATGCTCCACTAATGTTCTTTATACATGACAAAATGTTGTAGTCCTTCCAAAACTCTCTGAGCGTTTTCTCACCTTCAGTAACAGCAACAGCCTGAGCGAAGGTTGTACGTAAATAATTTGCTTTAAAAGCTGCAATAGCACCTTGATCCATGGGTTGGATGACAGAGGTAGTGTTAGGTGGAATGTACACTACCTTAACATCAGGGTGCAGGTGTGGTGGGTGTCCCGGAGCATTATCCAAAATTGACAAAATCTTGAATGCAATCCCTTATTGCAGACAATATTCCTTGGCTAGTGGAATGAAACAATTCATGAACCATTCCTCAAACAGTGCTAGGGTCATCCAGGCTTCTTGTTACTGCGATAAAACAGTGGCAGTGTGTGCTTGTTGACATGTTTAAAAGCCCTTGGGTTCTCTGAGTGATAGATCATGAAGGGCTTTATCTTGACACCAGCTACATTCCCCCCCAACAGAAGTGTAATTCGGTCCTTGAATGCCTTGAATCCCGGCATGGTTTTCGCCTCTTTGTGGATGTATGCCCGTTCAGGCATGCGCTTCCATAATAAGCCAGGTTCATCCACATTAAATGTTTGCTCAGGCAAATAATTTCCCTCCACGATGACACGATCTAACTCCTCCTTAAAAGCTTCAGCAGCACCAACATCAGCACTTGCTGCCTCTCCACTCACCTTTATACTGTACAAACTGTAACATTTCTTAAACCTTTGGAACCACCCATGACTGGCTGTGAAGGTTTGGTTGCACTCATCTCCTGCTCCTTCTGGCTTTGGAAAAGGCTTCTTGCCTTAGCCTGTATGGTTAGAAGGCTTAAGGGTATTTTATCCATATCACAAGTAATTTTTCCATCTCATGAATGGGACCTTGAACAGTCTCCAAAACTGGGCCACCAACAACCATGTCACCATCAACCATACCAAGACCATGGTTATGCACATCAACCTCTCCTCCGACATTGTCCCACCTCCTTCCATTACTTTAGGTCCGAACACACTCCAGGTTGTAGATTCCACGAAGCTCCTCGGCGTCACCATAGACAACAAACTAAATTGGAAACCACACGTCAGTGAAGTTGTCAAATCCTCCAGTTTCCGTCTCCACCTCCTCCGCCGACTCAAGTCCCTCAGAGTTCCTGCACCCGAGCTCCTCAGTGTTTACACAACATTCATACTTCCCAAGCTCACCTATGCCTCCCCTACCTGGTCTTCCTTCCTAAATGCCACACAACATAAACACCTAGAAAAAGTGCAAAAGAGGGCATGCAAGATTATTCTTTCCCCTTCCTACTCCACATATCAAGAAGCGCTCAACACACTGACCCTTTCGACTCTCACTGACCATCACCATGACCTCATCTGCAAATTTGGTAAGAAGTTTCTACACCATCCTCGACACCCGCTCCTACTGCCACCTGAGATCCCTAGCCCGAGAATTGCTGTTCGACACCACAACCACATCCAGCCCATACGTGCACAAACTGATCGCTATAAGAACAGCCCAGCCCCAACCATTGTAAAAATTATCAATAACTTGTAATAAACCAGTGTATTCACTCCCAGTAAATACTACTTCTTGCACTGTCACTATGTTGAAATGCCCTGTAGTTTGAGCTTCTCCCCACCTAGTTATTATATATCATATTTATATCACTTATGTTACTTGTCTATTATTTGTAATTCGAAACCCATTCCCCAAATATGTAACTGTATATTTTCAGCCTTCTGGCTGCCAAGCTCTTTCAATAAACCGTTAATTATTATTATTATTATTGTCTTTTCTTCGTTATTATGGTCCCCTTTATAGGTGCTGATCCTTTCACTACCTCACGAATACGTTCCTTGTCCTTCAAAATAGTAGATATCGTCGAGTGCGAGAAGCCTAGGTCGCGTGAAATGGATGCTACAGTTTTTCCATTTTCATACTGCATTATTATCTTCATTTTCGTCTCAAAAGTAATTGACTGTCTCATTTTCTTCTGAGCACCACCAGCACTCTCACTTGTACGCTTTCCAGTCATTATAAAGTGAATTACATACGAAAATAATGTCAGTACACAGCGCGATCAGTTGCGGATACAACGACAGCCAAACACCAACTAAGCGCTCTACGGCGTGGGTGCTGTAGCCACGATGCGACCTAAGCCACGCGACGCTCTCATACGGGACGGAAACGTTACAGTCTAGAAAATACGCCGTCATTTGAAAAATTTTTGGTACCGACTGTGGCGGTCGTAGTGCAGGTGGTCGTACGGACTGAGGCAGGTCATAAGTGCGGGCGGGAGTAGGTCGAGGAGGAGCTGTATTGTACTTTTCTATTACTTTATATTTTGTATTATTTTTTATGACACAAAGACCATAAGAGGCTTATCACACTCACTCACTCAGACACTCACTCAGACACTCACTCACTCACTCACTGCCACCTGATGATATATGAGAAGACAAACTTTCTATTTGATGGATAACTTTTAACAGATAAATGATGGTTTTATTTGCACATGCTTCCCCAGAACTGATGTAACAGTACAGGTACTTGTCCCCTTCAATACTGTACTGCATACACTTATACCCTGCTCTTATCGTTGTCTTTCTCCACTGTCTGTCTGACATTGCTCCAATGCCCTGCCCTACCGAGTATTGACCATAACATACCCACAACTCAGGACCAGTTGTCATTAACCTTTGTCATTATTTCCCCCACAGCTCTGTTTGGCGTGCCATTCATCCTCAATAAGAAATATGTGAAGTCATCTGATAGTGGATCACAAACTCTGCCAGTAATAACTAAGAAGAGTAAACAACAGATTGAGGATGAGGTGAGACCACGGTGGACGGAAATAAAGTCCACAGGAAAAAAAGTCACATGACTTGTAAACATTGACAACAAAATATATATATGATGGCATTGCACGTAGGTTTGGTTAGGTTAGGTTAGGTTGTTAGCTTAGCTTAATTGAATTGAATTGAAACAGTTTCTTTAGCCAGAAAAATACAGATACAGAGTGGATAATAATAAAAATATTAACATGGCTGAGCCAGTTGACAACCTGAGCTCTCTTTGAGGCACCTGATATATACTATACATTTATCTCAAAGAAGTATTATGTAACATTTAGTATCATCTGGAATAGTACAATAGCATGGTAGTAATAAGTACATCTCATAGTGTTACCACGGTTATCACTTCAATATTTATTTTTTTTTATTATTTATTATTTATTAATATTTTTATTATTATTATTTTGTTTATATATATATATATATATATATATATATACACCTAAACCCCGACTTACGACGGGGTTAGGGACCCAAATCCAGGTCGTAAGTCCGATATAGATAAAAATTTTTTTTTTTTTTTTAATAAAAAATCTACAATGAAATACAGTACAGTAAAAGTAATGAATAATGATGAATGGATACAGTACAGTGAAAGTAATAAATAATAAGGAATGGATACAGTGTGACTGAGCACTTAACCTTTAATGTAGTCAGCTGAATGCACATGGGGCCCCCATAATTTTCTAATTATACATGGAGACTACATTAACTGGAAACGTTTCGGTATAGAAAATGCGTGTGTCATTTAAAAAAAAAAAAATAATTTTTTCTTTTTTATCTATATCTGAGGCGGTCGTAAGTCCCGACGGTCGTAAGTCCACGTAGTCGTAAGTCGGGGTCTAGGTGTGTATATATATATATATATATATATATATATATATATATATATATATATATATATATATATATATATATATATATATATATATATATATATATATTATATATATATATATATATATATATATATATATATATATATATAGTATATATATATATATATATATACAGGTATATATATATATATATATATATATATATATATATATATATATATATATATATATATATATATATATATATATATATATATATATATATATATATATATATATATATATATATATATATATATATATATATATATATATATATATATATATATTGATAAAATCACACGGGAAAATGGAAACAACGGAGCACCTTAGCTTAGCCTCTGAAGATGTCTTGAATAAAGACGAAAGCTAAGGTGCTCCGTTGTTTCCATTTTCCCGTGTGATTTTATCAAGATTTATCTTATCCACGTTTTCATTGTGGATTTACATGATATATATATATTTATATATATTTATATATATATATACAGTGGCCCCTCCGTTAATGAACTCAATCCGTTCCAGAAGGTCGTTCGTTAACCGAAACCATTGTTTCAATGGGTTTTTGGGTAATTGGTTCCAGCTCACCGAAAATTTCCTAAATTCAACAAAAATGGTAGAAAAGTTCACTAACTTTGAGGTGTGTATGTAGAAGGCTCCTGGATGATGTGATGATGATGATGGGATTTAGAATGGGGGTGGAGGAGAAGGAAGAAGAGAAGGCATTGGGGTGGAAGAGAAGTCACCCCATGGCGCCATTTCACCCATAAAATTTTAGCTCTCTTGGTGTAATTCAAGATTATTTTCTTTAAATCAACACTGCACTGCATTATATATTGTCAATATGTAAAATATATTTCAAAATGACAAATAATTTGCTTGGAAACACAGAAAAAAGTGTTTAGTTGAAGAGTCTCAAGCAAGATGTTACCTCCAGTGAAAACAGAGAGAGACTAACTCCTGTTTGCTGTGTTAAGAGGCTGGATGCCGCGCATTAAACTAGTCACTTTACCTTCAATTATGTTCAATAATTGTTAAAATGACTAAAAAATTGAATATTAAACTTTTAAAATTATTGAATAGTATAAACTTCTTGATATTTACTAAAATAGTAAGGAATTTAAGCCCTAGAACCGATTAATGTATTGGCGGACTGATACTAAAGCTGGTTGCCCGGTCAGTGCAAGCGAAAACATGTTGAGGTCGTTTCGTAAGAACTTCGTTAACTGAATTGAAGATCCTTATGGAAGGCAGTATGAGTGGAATTTAAAAACATAAGTATAATGGGGGAGCAGTACAACCTGGGTTGTACAGTAATAAGGTTGGACAAGAGGACAGAGCTGTCAGGATTATGTCTAGTTGGCAATGATGTTCATTGCAATGGTAATTACTTATTTATTTACATGATAATTTCCGATAAAACGGTTTTGATGGCACAATAAAAGCAGGTACTGTAAATATCGTAAGTGTTACAAGAAATATTAATACTTCGACAATAGATATTTTTTTAGAGATGATTTAAAGGAAGGGAGCATAGTCTTTGCTCTGATGGGTGGGGGTAAGTTGTTCCACACCTTCACACCGTGATATTTTATGGAAGTCTGGGACTGAGAGGAGCGCATGGGGGGTGGTCTTAGTAGCTCTGGGTGCCTAAAGTTGTATCTCTGATTATTCCGGAACTGGAAGTAATTATTGTCAAGCAAGTGATTGATAGATTTGTAAACAAAGAGGGCACAGCAGTAAGTGTTAATAGCCTCGAATTTTAAAAATTTCAATATAGCAAATTTTTCGTTTGTGTGATCTGTTTTTTTCAAGTAGGTCATTGTCCGTACAACTCTCTTTTGTGCAGTGTATCAGGTGTTGGTAAACAAGATCATGATAGATTTCTTTCATTGCTGTGAGAGTGAGTGACTGTCAAGTGTGATACATGATACCGCACTGTTTATTGATTTTATTGGGAATGGCTTGTACTGTATGTGGTTTCTCCAGTTAAGTTTCTCATCAACAATAACTCCGAGGAATTTAGTATTTTGTTCGCGTTTGAGGACTTTTTTACCATGGTATAGGGGGTCCAAGTCTGGGGTTAAGTTTTTCTTCTGTGAAAGATCGTGTAGTGGGTTTTCTCAAGGTTTAAGGTCAGTTTATTAGTATTACCCTGGTCCAGACTTTAGTTAATTCAGTGTTCATAGTTCTCATCAAGGAATGGAGGTCTGAGTTGCTGGCATAGAGATTACTATCGTCTGCAAATAAGTTGTATTTTATGAGTGGGCTGGCATGGACTATGTCGTTTATGTACAACAAAAACAGTACTGGACCGAGAATTGAACCTTGGGGGGACTCCATACAAGATTGGCAAGGAGTCAGATTGGTGGTTATTATAACAGACATACTGCATCCTGTTGGACAGATATGAGGCGAACCAATTGTGGAACAGGCCCCTAACGCCATAATGTTCAAGCTTTGAAAGGAGGACGATATGGTCGACAGTATCGAAGGCTTTAGAGAGGTCCAAGAATATACCGACTGTGAACTGACTGTCATCAAAGGAATTTAAGATGTCATTAATAAAGGATAGCAGAGCACTCTCAGTCGACCTTCTAGCTCTAAATCCAAACTGGGAGTCTGTAAAGATGTTATTGACATTACAGAAGGAATTTAGTCTATTACATGCTAGCTTTTCCAGTATCTTACTCAAGGCTGGGAGGACTGATGGGGCGGTAGTTCTTGAAGAGACCTTTGTCCCCAGATTTTTTAGATGCCGGGTGGACTTTAGCAATTTTCAGTTTATCCGGAAAGACACAACTAGTGAAGGAGGAGTTACAAATGTGTAGGAGAACAGGTAGTAATAAGTGGGCTACTTTCTTAATGATGCTCATTGGTATATTGTCTTCGCCTGCTGCTGCAACTTAGGTTAGGTTTTTTCCGTGTCATTTTTTCTTGTGACTTTTTTCCTGGATTCGAGACCACAACTATGTAACCTTTCAACACTAAGGGTAGTCAGGTGTACTGTGTACTGCTCAGGTTTACTGTATACTGGTCAGGGTTACTGTATACTGGTCAGGTGTACTGTATGCTGTGGTCAGATTTACTGTATACTGGTCAGGTTTACTGTATACTATTCACGTTTACTGTATACTGGTCAGGTTTACTGTATACTGTTCAGGTGTACTGTGCTGTGGTCAGGTTTACTGTATACTGGTCAGGTTTACTGTATACTGTCAGGTGTACTGTGTACTGCTCAGGTTTACTGTATACTGGTCAGGTTTACTGTATACTGGTCAGGGTTACTGTATACTGTTCAGGTGTACTGTATGCTGTGGTCAGGTTTACTGTATACTGGTCAGGTTTACTGTATACTGGTCAGGTTTACTGTATACTGCTCAGGTTTACTGTATGCTGTGGTTAGGTTTACTGTATACTGGTCAGGTTTACTGTATACTGGTCAGGTTTACTGTATACTGGTCAGGTTTACTGTATACTGGTCAGGTTTACTAGGTTTACTGTATACTGGTCAGGTTTACTGTATACTGTCAGGTTTACTGTACTGTGTACTGTATACTGGTCAGGTTTACTGTATACTGGTCAGGTTTACTGTATACTGGTCAGGTTTACTGTGTACTGCTCACTGTTCAGGTTACTGTATACTGCTGCTGGTGGTACTGTATACTGTATACTGTCAGGTTTACTGTATACTGGTCTGGTCAGGTTTACTGTATACTGTTCAGGTGTACTGTGCTGTGGTCAGGTTTACTGTATACTGGTCAGGTTTACTGTATACTGTAGTCAGGTTGGGACGGTTGGGACGGCGTGCGGTCCAGGTTTGCAATACTGGTCAGGATTTACTGTATACTGGTCAGGTTTACTGTATACTGGTCAGGTTACTGTATACTGCTCCAGGTTTACTGTATGCTGGTCAGGTGTGCACTGGCTATACTGGTCAGGTTGCACAATGTACTGCTCCAGGTTTACTGTATACTGGTCAGGTTTACTGTGTATTACTGCTCAGGTTTACTGTATACTGGTCAGGTGTACTGGCATGCTGTGGTCAGGTTTACTGTATATGCTGTGGTAAGTTTACTGTATACTGGTCAGGTTTACTGTATACTGGTCAGGTTTACTGTATACTGGTCAGGTTTACTGTATTCTGTGGTCAAGGTTTACTGTATACTGCTCCAGG